GCATCACAACAGGTGACTTAAAGTGTACAGCTTTCTCTGAGCCTATGTGTGTGTAAACAGTCAATTGTGTGTAGCAATAAATAATTCATAAAGAAGAGAAGAGAAGAGAAGAGAAGAGACGAGAAGAGAAGAGAAGAAGAGATTGGATTTATACCCCGCCCTTCACTCGGAGTCTCAGAGCGGCTTACAAACTCCTTTCCCTTCCCCTCCCCACAACAGACACCCTGTGAGGTAGGTGGGACTGAGAGAACTCTGACACAAACTGCTCTTTTTCAAGGACAGCTGTGCCAGAGCTTGTGACTGACCCAAGGTCACATCAGCAGGTGCAAGTGGAGGAGTGGGGAATCAAACCCGGTTCTCCCAGATTAGAGTCCGCACACTTAACCACTACACCAAACTGGCTCTCAAATATCCAGTTCATTCTCTAACAAAACAACAGGACTGTTGCCTTCCCACCTTGCTTGTGGTTGATGGAGTTTTGTTCTGAGTCGGCAGAGCTCTTCTTCTGCTCTTCATGTCAAGCCTGACCTGGCAAGCCTGAATTCAATGTGTACTTTTGCCATAAGCTCATGTGACCATGGCTTAGCAAATCAGTCTAAGCTACCTAGAAACTAAAACTAAAAACCAAACAAGTCGAAGTTCCCCCATCTAAAAACTAATTTACCTTACAGGATTGTCACATTCAAGAGCTGCATATTGTTTAATGGCGTAGTATCGAGGTGCTAAACTGAGGTGCTAAATGGCTTCAGTTGCACCATACTAAAGAATAGTTCTGACAGTCAACAAGTCACTGATAATGTGCGAGTGATAACATAAGAGTGATAACAAATACACAAATTTATTTCACAGTAGGAACTTTTAGTGTGGAAAGAACAGTAGAGAAAGTCAAGGACATGGATAATATTCAAAACTCTTGATCAAATATAAGCCAGTTTCCTAATACCTATTCCACAAAGAGGAAAACATATTAGAAGTCTGTTAGGGCAGGCTTGGCGTGTGTTCCCCCCCCCTTGCAAAACATATATATAGAAACTATAGTTTAGGACAATTGTATAATATACTAAAAACACATGCTCGTGACAGACTATGAACATTAGTGAGAGAAAACAGCAGCTATTTTTAATTTAAAATATTAGAATTTAAGACATGCTAATTCAGATTCTAAGTGACACATACACAAACGCAAGAAGTACAGTGAAAGTTAGATGTACTAGTTAGCTACAGTCAGAGGTCATTTCGGGGGGATCACGGGGGATCGCAGTTCCCCTGGGTGAGGTACGGGGGGCGGGGCACATGACGAAGCCCCGCCCCCTGCTTTCGGCCGCCCCACTTCTGGCCCTCATTCAGCCAGGAGGAGGCAGGAGAAGAGGGAGGGTAAGTTGCTTCCTCCCTGCCTCTCCCCACCCTTGCCTGCCTGGGGCCAGGGAGGGCCTTTGCGGGGCTTCCTTGCACTCCCGCCGGCCTTGCAGGTCCTCCGCCGGGCCCCCTGGCTACAGTTATTTATGGATGTTAGGCCCTGGTTCTCATTCTCATCCATATCTGGTTAAAAGGATGTTTTCCATAAGTGTATCTATGATGCCATACTTCAAGTATTTTTGACGCCATCTATCAGAAACTCTCCCAGTCTCCGGAGGCTTCTAAGGCTCCAAAACCTTCTCCTACTCCACAACCACGAAAGTGGGGTGAAAGACTTTGAAATATCTGTTCGGCCCAATAACCACTGATGAAATAGCCAGCCTAGCAGACTCCCCCTGTAGCAGCCAGTCTTCACGGGTGCATTGTCAAAGGTTCGTTCCTGCTTTGGTACTGCCAGCTTTCCAATAGGATCCATTTGGGAACTCTGCATTAACTTAGAATCATACAATCATAGAATCATAGAGTTGGAAGGAGCCATACAGACCATCTAGTCCAACCCCCTGCCCAATGCAGGATCAGCCTAAAGCATCTCTGACAAATATTCATCCAGCCCCTTCTTGAAAGCTGCCAGTGAAGGGGAGCTAACCACCTTCCTAGGCAGCTGATTCCACCTTTGAACCACTCTGACCGTGAAAACATTTTTCCTACTATCCAGCCGATACCATTCTGCATGTAATTTAAACCCGTTGCTTTGGGTCCTATCCTCTGCTGCCAACTGGGAACAGCTCCTTGCCCTCCCCCAAATGACAGCCTTTCAAATATTTAAAGGCTTATTATCCACTTCTCTTCCACATTTAAGTCTGCCAACTACCCTATCTTCTGCTGATTTAAATGGCTGGCTAGGAACAGGGAAGCAAAAGAGCTGTCTTCCCCCACATGGACATAAAGATCATCTGGGGAAGCCTTGCTTTGTGTGCAATGAGTGTTAGAGATTTGATGGGTAGAGACATGGGGCCTTAGGGTTGACAGCCATATGCTGGCAACACCTGGGAAATACAGGGTGTGTGTGGGTGTGGTCCTGGTGATTGGCATCACACCAATTTCATTATGTTACTTCGGACATGAACTTGGAAGTGATGGCACTGTGTCAGGGCGATGCTCTGTGATTCCCTCAAACTCTGTTTTAGGTGAATCTTAGAGCATTGCCCCAAAGAGGCAACATCACTTCTGGGTTCATGTTGGAAAGAACATCATGGCAATGGCACAATACCAGTTTCCCCAGTTTTGCTCTTGTGACTCCAGAGAAAAGCAGCAGCTGGAGTGGTAGGGTCTAGGGCAGGAGGTCTCCCACTACAACAGGAGACCTGGACACCCTATAGGGCCTTGTTGATGGCAGCACCAAGATATAAGTATATCCATTCCCCTTTCTTGTAGCCTTTAGGAAGACAGCTAGAACCTATCGTTTCCTCTTTTCTATACACCAACTTAAGTCTGGCTGTTATGAAGACTCTCTTTCTTTCAAGTGACTCTATGGCAACATATCCGGCTATTTTAAATGTTAAGAGTGTTGCTCTGCAGGTTGAATCCAGTGAACCATGGATGCAAGGATCACGGATCTTTCCCACGTTCCCACGCTCCTCCAGCGACTATTGCTAAGCTTGGTAAAGTTTATTCCTGGGGTTGAGGAATCCACATAGTCTAACAGCCATGCAGGACAGGTGGCTGGTTTCCAGATGCCAACAGATTTATCAGGTCAAAAAATGTATTAAGCACGCCATTATATGAGTGGGTGACAGAAAAGTGACGTAGAAATACTTTAAAGAAATGACTGTGTGAATGTTTCGGAAAAAAAATATTTTTACCTGCAATCCCCAAGCAGATTGAGCCCTCCACTTTACTGGTGTTCCCAAGAAAACACCTTTACTTTCTTCCATGTATGTACAGAGCCAAGTGCTGCACTTACTGGGAACAACACTTCAGTAGGTAGGAAATCTGCCCTCACTCCACAGAATGGGATCCCAGACACTTGTGTGAAGATAACACAAAAGGAACATTCCCTGCACTGTATAGACTTGATCTGTGTTCTGTGCTCCCATCATACTGGCAGGCTTTTTGCCTAGTTACATACAACAGACAATGTATGATTGGGTCAGGTTTCCTACCTGCACTGGCTCTCTGTCAATACCTTGCACCAAATATAAAAGTGCTCACTTTTGAAACTGAGGATACAAGAGACAGTGAGACCTCCTCCCCGCCATGTCCACTCTGTCCATACTCTTCTCCTGCCTCCACACCAACCTGTCTCTATTACATTCTCTCAGGCTGCTCACTGTGCCTGGCAGAGCTTTTCCTCTCTGTTGGACAGGTCCCCTCTTCTAGGCGAGGGGTCCCCAACATGGTGCCCACCAACTCCTTTTCTGGTGCTCACCAAGTGTTTTTAAGAAGTGGGTGAGGCCAGGTACGGCTTTTGCCCAGCAAAGATTCTGATTGGTTGTAAAGATTTCTTAAATGTTGCTTTGGCAGTAGCTGCTACTACAGTACAAAGATCTACACTGTGTTATTTATTTATTGTATTTATTATATTCCACTTTTATACCACCCATTACCTGAAACAGGGCTCAGGGTGGTGAACAAAACGCCATTAAAACAAACATATCAAGAATAAAAACATTAACATTACAGTAAAAATTCAGGTACATTTGAATTAAACAGATGGCGGTAGAAACTTCTAGTTTGAGACCACCTTGCGGGGGGGAGAGGATGAAGTAAAAGTGGCAGCCAGATGGACGCCAACGTTGCCCTCAACCAAACGCCTGGCGGAATATCTCTGCGGTACAGGCCCTGCGGAACTGTAACAAGTCCCGCAAGGCATGGATGTTACTCAGCAGAGAGTTACAGCAGGTTAAGCTGTGGCAATCATTTTGTGGCTGGCTCTGCCTCCCACGACAGCCATTTTGGGGCAGCCATTTTGCTGCTCTGTCCATTTTGCCATGCCAGAATTACAAAGGTGCCTGAAAGCTCAAAAAGTTGGGGACCCCTGCTCTAGGCACTCAGACTGAATGAAGAATTCCATGGTGCATCAAAACCTCACAACTTTCCCCTGCTCTCCCCCATCTCCACTGCCAACCCTTGGTCTCCTCCCTGAGTAAACTGAAAAGTCCTCCAGGCACAAACCAGGCAACTTCTGCTATATGCAAGGCCCAATACTAAAAAGGGTATTGTGCCTCAGTAACAGCCGCTAACACCATTCATTTACACGCACAAGAAAGGTAACTTGTAAATAGTAAGTAAAATGAAAGGTAAAGGAAAAGCAGACAAGAAAACAGCTCAGAAATCAACAGATTAGAAGCTGTTTAAAATGTCTTAGCCTAATTTTCTTTTAACTTCCTAAGACAATAGCCAGACAATATAATTTCCTATGCTTTAACTTAATTATGTTAAAGGAAAGAATAAACCATTTCAGTCTTCATATGGCATGGCTTACTGTAACAAGCTTTGAGCATTCTCTTTCTCTCTCTAGTATTGTTAAAATACATTAATCATTACTAAAATATACTGACTTTGTTTCTAAGCGCTTATTCAATAAAGACATTTCCATTTAAACTCCAGAACACAAGAATGCTGATACAAGACAAGATCATTACCTTGGATCCAGGACTTCACCAATGATTTCTTCCAGTTTATCAAAAAAGTGAACTAAGTGTGAAAGGCCCTTCATGTGCATTCTCAAACGATCGTCTGGAGGAGGGGCGTAACCTTTACCTCCAAGTTCAATGGTTCGGATGAAAGAGGTTGCCACCTGACAGGAGATGCATATTTAGCCAAGTAAAATATAGGAACAACATATATTCATAAATATCAGGAAAGGGTTTTTTTTATTTAATTTTAGAAACAGTACACTGGACTTCCTGTGAAGGTTCCTTTTACTTGACATACGGGACATTCAGATGTCTGGGGTACTCTCCTTCCCATGAATCCCGGAGACAGGAAGGAGGTTGCTCTTTTCAGTCTCCAGTGGGAAGGAAATGCCTGTGACTTTTACTTTTTTCTTCCGGAGGGCTTGAGGAGAAAGGAGGATTGTGGAACTCTCCATCAACCCAGCACTCACAAGGAGGCAAGAAGAATAAAGTGCAGGTGATGGGTAGTGTTCCCTCAAAGCTGAATTAGTGTGAACTAGCTCACAGATTTTTAGTCTCCAGCTCACAGATTTTTGTCTTAGCTCAGGAAGGATTTTTGTCTTAGCTTGTTCCAGAGCAGACTAATTTATGCAGTAGCCAAATTGCTCGCTCACAACTTTAATGCCAGTAGCTCACAAGATTTCAGTTTATAGGGAGCATTGGGCATCCCCTCCCCACCGGAGATGGAAAAGACCAACCTACTTCCTGCCTCCAGTGATCATGGTAAGAGTACCTGAAGGTCTCAGAGTGTCTTCCTCTCTTCAGATGAAAACCTGACCTTCTCACAAGCACAGGTACATCACACAGACTGTGAACATACTCCCATAAATAGTATGATTTATATGGGAGGGAACAAAAACCCTCATATTATTCAGAAAGCTGGACGTTACTAACACAACTAACTTTGTCCTTGTGAAACAAGGTACTTTCGTTCTGGATATACAAGATGTAGAAGCAAACTATAACTTAGTGGGGTTTGTCCCTATGCATGTCTTTGGAAAATTCTGCTGCAACTCAGGTTGCCAACTCTGGGTTGGGAAATACCTGGAGATTTGGGGGGTGGAGCCTCAGCAGTGTACAGTGCCACAGAGTCCACCCTCAAAAGCAGCCAGTTTATCCAGAGGAGCTCGTCTCTGTAGTCTGGAGATCAATTGTAATATTGGGACATCTCCAGGCTCTACCTGGAGGTTGGCAACCTTAGCTGCAACCTTCAAACCATTCTATTGTGTCAAAGTCCTGTGCCGTTCAGAAGGATGCCTACAGGAAATACAAACTGCTGGCCCATTATCCCCTTCTCTGTGAAAGTGGTATGAGATGCAATAGAATCTGCTGTGCCAGAACAGAAAAAAAAGTGTTTTTTTTCTTTATTTACGTATTGAATAAAAGTTTTTCCCCCCAGAATTTTTTTAAAAATACATTGGGAACAATTCTAGGAGAGTGAGTCTGCACTTTGCCAACACTCAAGGCTTTGCTGTGGGTTGCATGTGGTTCATATGATCTTGACTACTCAATGGAAAACATTTTGTCATCACTCAGTTTCTTCAAAACCAAAGATGCCAAAAAGAAAAGACCTCTTTACAAAGGAGAGATGTTTCCTTTCCTTAGAAACCCTAGCATCAATGGGTAGTGAATGTAATCCAAAGACGTACTTCATAAAAACATTAAGACAACATTAAGAGGTGAAATAATTAATCCTCTTTTGAGTTTTTCCATACTTACTCAGTCATAAGAACCCTGTTACTTTACCACGGTCCATCAAATCTATTCCCAGTTCGGCTTTAAAATAAATTAAAAATTCAAACCTGATGCTAAATTCACAGAGC